TATCAAGCGAGAGTTTAATATATAATAGGGGTATACCTTTCTCAAACTCTTTGAAGAGCATATCAAGCGAGAGTTTAATGTATAATAGGGGTATACCTTTCTCAAACTTTTTGAACAGCATATCAAGCGAGAGTTTAATATATAATAGGGGGATATCTTTTCAAACTCTTGGAAGAGCATATCAATTGAGTGTTTCATAAATAATAGGGGTATACTATTTTGACGATATAGTGACAAATGCAATCCGTTCTTTATCCTTTTACGTGTTCCATTAGAACCGATATCAAAATCACAAGCATATTTTATTAACCATTCCTTAATTCACGCCCGGTGATCGTACAAATGGGATGGAGGGGGGGGGGGATTAGGCGATTTCTGCAAAAAAACACAAAAATTTGGAAGATGTATTTTTTTCAATCCCATTTGTACGATCACCGGGCGTGTAATTCTGATTTACATTCATCACCATCATTTTATGACGATTGTGTAATCGACGTACAAATGCCATGTTCATTATAAACAAAGGGATTTGACAGAGCATGTTCGCCCTAATTCGTCTTCTTTAATCGCTTTGAACTCACAATAGACATGATTAGTGTGGTACATTGATATACTTCATCAAATCAATTTTATTAGAGTATGATTAATCCAGGTTTAACTTTCGACTGAACTAAGTATATCAATTGTCGATTCAATCGGATTTGTCTACCCACTAGCTCTATCCTCGCAAAGAGTCCAACATTAAATGCCAGAAGGCAGAGTGACAAAATTGTAAGCATCATGTACAGGGTGTTTTTATTAAGATCGTTTCCTAACAAATCACAAATCCTAGATTTCTACTGTATGTGCTTTAAATTGGAGATATTCCCATTGATCTATAGTATTTACTTTGTTTTAGATTACAATTTTGATTCGTGAATAGCAGGAGTGGATGAAATGTTTGTTTTACGTTAATCTATAGTTTGGGATAGTGTGGTTTATTTTCTTGTTACTTTTGGATGCCATTAAACCTCCCATAGAAAGTCAAAGAGGCTTAGATTCGAGATCACCAGCAAAACGTTTATTTATATACACGTACAGTATGTACAGGGTGTTAAAAAAACGCAACCCAAAGAAATCGCTATATCTTGAAAAATACTGGTTCAATTATATTCATATTTTCAGGAAATAAAGAAGAGACTGTGTATCTATAGCCCCTGTAGATGGTTAGTTGTAAAACATGATGCCTTGGACACCTGCTCAAAAGACAGTTGTACTAGGAAAATACGAAAAACACAGTCAGGCGTGACAGCAACCTCAAAAAAATTAAATAACTTTCTAACCATAGTGTTTTGGCTCTTCAAATTTGGCACACATCATCTTCATTCACTGTATGGTAAATCTGTAGAGTGAAATCAAAATCACTTCAGGGACTTTACAGTTATGGTTGAAATGCTTTCAAATCGCAGTCAAACGCCCTGGTTCAGGGAGACTTAAGAAGGCATTTTGAACATTGAGTGAGGATAATTTGTGCTAAATCTGAAGTGCCAAAACACCATGGTTAGAAAGTTATTCGGTTTTATTGCTGTGGCAGTCACCTCTGACTGCATTTTCATATTTTCCAAGAACAACTGTCATTTGAGCAGGTGTCCAAGGCATCATGTTTTACAACTTATTGACAAAGGAGCTATACATACACAGTCTCTTCTTTCTTTTCCTGAAAAAATGAACATAATTGAATTAGTATTTTCCAAGATATAGTGATTTTCCATTCGCGTTTTTTTTGTATTTTGCTAGTACAACTGTCTTTTGAGCAAGTGTCCAAGACATCATGTTTTACAACTAACTAACAACAGAGGCTATACAAACACAGTCTCTTCTTTCTTTCCTGAAAATATGAACATAATTGGATGAGTATTTTCCAAGATATAGCGATTTCCTTTGGTTGCGTTTTTTTAACACCCTGTATAAAAAATGTTATCCTAAACTATGATATAACGACCCGGATGTAACGTACACACAACGAAACAATAGCAATAGCTAAGATACCTCTTCATCCGCATTTTAAGAAAACATATAAAAATCGTCTATTGTCATTAGTCAGAGAACAGTTAGCTTCACCCCATGGGATCTTTCACCCTGTATGGCCTGGTTAATACCTTGATAAGCAGCTTAGAAAAATATCTGAATATAACAGCCGGTCAGAGAAAATGGCACTCATAGAAAAAGACCCGAATAACACAGACTGTCAGAGAAAATGGCACTCATAGAAAAATACCCGAATAACACAGCCTGTCAGAGAAAATGGCACTCGTAGAAAAAGACCCGAATAACACAGACTGTCAGAGAAAATGGCACTCATAGAAAAATACCCGAATAACACAGACTGTCAGAGAAAATGGCACTCATAGAAAAATACCCGAATAACACAGACTGTCAGAGAAAATGGCACTCATAGAAAAATACCCGAATAACACAGCCTGTCAGAGAAAATGGCACTCATAGAAAAAACAAGACATATGGACACTAGCTTGATGATATTAACTTCGGCATGAAGTCTCATTATAGTCGTTTGTCATTAGAATACGATATTCCAAACTATGATCGAACTCACACAAACACAAAATGTCTAAAAATGTATACCGGCCCATCTCACCGACTAAGCTAGTATTCAACTATTATATAAATCATCCATTACTACCAGGGTGGTCAAATAAAATGGCAACCCTGCTGCTATTTTTCCTCATATCTTTGTCATTTTAGAAAAGTACTTCTGATATTTGGTACATGTGTACATCATTAATTTCCTACCAGCCTACAATATTTCATGACCATCGAATTGACAGTTACAATGTTACAGCACCTTAAATATCATGCTCCAGAGGCCAATATTACGCTTTGGGCAAACCTCCACCCGTCGTCCAAAATGTTCATACCTGACTTGTACCTATGGGATATGCCAAAGATAAAGTGTAAAAAATGACCTCGAGGGCAATTATAGATCCCAAAAAAGGAGATCATAATTGTCATTCAGGCCATACATAATAAGGATTGCAGTCGGGTCATAGTAAACGTGTGCAGGTGTGCAGGTAAATATCAGGGAGTAATTCCCTCAAATGAAAAAGATATGAGGAAAATATAGGGTTGCCGTTTTTGACCACCCTGTATCATATTAGGGAGTTTCAGCTTGCATATTAAATCGAAACGCCAACCTGTACGTATGAACAATCGCCCATTGCAAATTCATCGCTAAAATGTACTTAAATCGCTTACATTTAAACTTACGAGCAATAAGCAATTACGTTCGCGTTTAGGTTATGAAAAACAGTGCAAGCTTAAAATCCCTTACATTTAGAGGACGTAACCCCGAACCGATTGGAATGCAAGTAATATGATAGTCAACCAGACAAAATGATACTCATTAGTATAATATACAATATGTAACAAGACCTGCGTGGACACTTGATAATATTATTATGTTCCTTGGCAGTGCATATGGGGGGAAGGGGTAGTAGAGGCTTCGGATCCCATAATGGAAAGAACCATTAGATTATAACTAATACGAAGTTATTCATCGGGAAATTGTAATGAGGATGCACAGATGTACACCCCCCTCCTTAAGTTTGGCAACTGAAATTTTTATAGCGTGTGAAAGCCCATTCTGATACTCATCAAATCTTTTTGGCTTCAGCAAGAAATATTCGTCTAGAGAGAAGCTAAAATAAGCTTTTACAATAATTCGAAAAATGATGACTTTGATGAATTGTTCTGGACAAACGGGCTTTATATCATTTGATCCGGAAGAGGACTCCAGGTACCCAACTTATAAATTGAGGCGTATTGGTGAACAGCATTGGCATAATTATACCCCTGGGAAAATCATGTAGAGAAGAGTATATCTAATCTTAGCGCATCGTATCAAACGTCACAATTTGAAGACGTTTCTGTCACAGGGGGATCGATACAATAATGCATCCCGTGATACGTGACTTCCGGTTTTTCAAGATCTGGATAAGTATTTTCCATTGTGCGGTCGAATAAAACGCTCAATAGTCTTAATGGTACGTTAAGCTCATTTCAAGATCATCCGCGTCAATGCACCTTGTAATATTGAATATTGCATCGCAAAATCTCTTTTGTAAATACCGAAGAATGGAAATGTAATTTTCATAATTGAGATAAATAAAATGCCCCGTTGAATCAAATCTAAAATTAGCTAATGCTTCACGGGAGCATGTTTCCGAAGTATTATTCAATAGAGAAAACGAGCTTATGAGATAAAACAATCCGTTATTGGAATCAGCGTATACTTGGGAATACGATACCAGTTTTCTTTGTTTCCAAAATTAAAGAGGCGGAGATATACACAGTGTACCCACGATTCAATGGTGTTTCGGAGAAATTAGTTATTTCGTTCATATACAGTATTCGAAGTTAGCGTTGTTATCTCGAGGAGCAGTGATTGCAAGATTACGTTTCTCGGAACAATCTAATTGACTCAATCAAATGCATTTCCTGATTTAGTTTATCGGCATTTGTCTAGATTTGTCTTGATTTAATTAAGATCACGTCAGATAAAGTTCAATCAACGTAGGTACACGCTGTGCAAATCCTACAATTATATAGTTATGATCCGCTATATTCTTTCGATCTTTTTGACTCTTTTCGTACTTAGTTATTGTTAATCGTGAGTCTAAGGACTCGATTAAGTCTGATGAATATTGATATAGTAAGAAGGGGAAGGGGGGGGATAGTTTACTATAATTTTAAATACGTAATGTAAGATGTATGCAAGAAGATCGCCAATCTGAGAGAGGGCCATTTGAACTTGAAGATGTGGAGGAACCTATCCGATTAACTCTTGATCATTCTAGACATGAATACAACTTTTATCTATATATTTATGATATTTAGACTTCTATAATGTCTTGAGTGTTGTGTCAAGATATTTCAGAATTCTTACGATCGCTTTATGATCGAATGCCTTTTTAGATGAGAACCTGCACATAATGCTTTCTTACCTTTGACATTTTCTGGAATGGTTTTAATAATATCATCATCAACTGCTCTGCTATCAGTTTCAATTATCTTTTTAGCAATGAATCCCTCGTTGGATAATATTTTGTGAATAACTCCCGACAGTTCAATCCATCTTCTGCCTGGAGATGCAACGATTACATAATTTCTCCATTTAAAATGGTTCAAAAGCGCGGCGTAAGCATTAGCTGCTTGGGAATCAGTGACCATTGTGTGGATTATTTTGTTACGCGGATGAGTATTGGGGCAAGTTGGGGTTATAAGGATGACGTTACTGTCTTCCGCAAAACGTGTTATGATGTCACAGTACTCAGTCCGGGGTGGTCCGATCCAAACCATACTTGTATTGTTAACTTTTGATGATACTTTTGATAGGCTTTCCATTGCCGAAGAAAATGAACACATAGGGTAGAATTTGACGCTTATATTCACTGATTCCCCGTGTGCAAATGCTTTTCCCATTTCAATTGCTTTAGTGGTTAAAGCACGATAGTGATCAGTCACAGTTGTCATATTGCCATCGTCTATACACTGGGGAATAAAAATCACCAAGTTAGAATTCGTTCTAGACGTCGCATATTGTGATAATCCAAATACAGTATAAAATATTAGTATAAAAATATATATGATATTATAGAGTAAATGGTCGGCTCTTGTCAGTATTGAGAGTGGGCTCATATCTGCATCGCTATGGTCTCCTGCAAAGATATGTCAATTCGAACATATCAGGTAATCCAAAACAAGACATTTCCCAGCCAATCAATAACAGCATTCTTCAAGCATATGTTTCTGATCATTTTTAAATGAAATATCCGATGTAGTGATTTCCAAACGGAATATTATAAGCGATTGGGTGTCTACTTGAATAGAGCGGCGTATTGTTCTAAAAGCTGTCATCTGGCTAGGGTATTGTTATTCCTACGCCGTACTAAGAAAATCTCAAGACATACTATTGGCAAAGTTCTTGAGAATCACTAATGTTTAGTGCTCAACCTCAAGTTCGAAGGAGTTATTAGCTCTATTTTTATTTCACAAGTGTCTCTAGTTTTAACGCATTTATTGACTGTATGAGTCTATCCATATAATGTCATCGCCATGGTGTTCTTCCCAGAGTAAAAATTCTCTATGTTCGTAAATAATCCGTGTATCACTTATTCGCAATAACTAACACTAGTTATGTAAGTGTTATTTTTTCACACTTTGGCAATGTTCTTTAGGCTATTTTTATATCATCCGTGTTTATGATAAAGATGCCAACAAATTACATACTCTCGAGATAAACAAATATTCTTGTAACGTTAATGAGCGTTCATGTAACGCTACGTGCGAACCTGAATAAGCCGTCAGGTACTATGTGCTTAACCAGCTCAGTAGTAACCGCTTTATACATAGATATTTTCCAATAATTATTTTTCTCCGTTGATTGATGTTTTTTGTTCATGGATTCACTATTCCTCATAGGAATCGTTTTCCTGAATTATCGATCAAAGCACTTTTCAATTTTGATATAATTTTCATCGAGGGATATACATTTTGCAAACAACAATTCTGCGTAAAACGATTCAATGAGTGATAGATTGTGATAGAGTTATATCCCTCGATTTCTATATGTGCCGTCAATAGCTGCAGAGGCACGCAGCTTTATTGAGATATAGATTTAGCCTAATTTGTTCAATAATGCTTAAACAATGCAATATAACTGTATATATGCACAGCGCGTTCCTAAAATAAGCAATAGGCTCGTCCGTTATTGCTTTATTATATGATTTGCATGATATATAAGAACGCATATTGAACATTTATTAATCTAGTATTAACTAAACTGTTTGGTTAACGACGCCCTTGTCTTTTTCAAACGACGCATTTGTCTAAGGTTTGTTTTATCTCTATAAACTCTAAATATTTACGTACAGCTCTTTTCTTAGATGCCTGGCAGTTAATCAAATATATTTCTTCCAAAATGTGTTCGTGTTTTTTTCATTTCATCCCAGTCGAGGAATAAAATGAGATTTATGACACATAATAACGACCCTGTCTAGGTTTTTTATCAATCACTTGAACTGTAACTGGAGATGCACACGGGACTCTTAAGGGCTGCAGTAGCTAGTCTTACATTGTACCCCGGGGATTATTTATTGATGAAATATGTTGATCCGGGATTAAGGTCATACCAACGTTATTGTTTCTTCAGTTTACCTTCTTTAAAAACACCGTTGGGAATAATAACAAAGTTATCTAAAATACAGATATTCGTAATGTATAAATTATACATAACACGTTGGCCTAAAGTGTAAACGCACAAATAGATAAACCATACCCGCATAATTCATCGTTTTATATTTTATTAAATGCAATATACATTACTAGAGTTAATAAATATACAGCATATGAATCATGGATATTCTCTTTCCTTATATAAAACATAACGCAAACCCAATGTGGAACACAATTTTTGTCTCTGCATAAGGTAATTTGAGATGACATATATTTTTATATATGATGTGTTGATTGCTCTAACAACCAATCGCAAACAATATATATATTAAATAGATATTACATTTTTCTGTTCAGACATAAAACGTAATAAACACCGACTGAGCAACTAAGATACTTTATACATTTTATATACACTCCCCTCCATAAGATACGCAAGCAGAATTACCCATTTGAAGGACTTGTCAAAGTCTGTATGTGTTTGGTTTTGTTGAAAAAATCATCAAAAGAGCACGTGGGTTATCGCAAACAATTTCAGAAGGTTATATCTTGGATTATGACTATTTTCTGACAATGAAGACAAGTTTATCTTTTAGATCAATTCATTATCTCTAAGAAAATTATGCACAGTAATAATAAATTCAAACAAACTCGGAGATATTTAACTAGCAATTAACCCATCAACACACTTTTTGACCCCACTTTGAAGATGTTGACCCCATTTTCACCAAAAATGCAATCATTTTTTACAATGTTTAATGCATTACTATTCTTTATTTTGATGTATCAAATAGTTCTTGAAAGAAAAACTTAATTGCATTAAGATAAGTGTTCCCCATGTTATTTCTCCATTGAAAAATCTCATGCTATCCATTGGTTTCAGTTCATTTTGGTCATCCAAATTGAATATCTTTAAAGTCCTTGGAGCAATCAAATTTTCCTTTTAGGAAATCGAACATGTCTCAAAGCACATTCTAATTATGCATTCAACAATATAATAATGGGTTGCATTTTTGGTGAAAACTAGGTCAACATTTTTGAAAATGTATGTTGATTGGTCCATTGCCCCTTCAATATCACTTAGGTCTGATTAACTAAATTATCATTATATATACTTTTCTTGAAGATAATGAATGGATCTAAAAGATACACCCATGTTCATGATCAGAAAATATTCATAATTCAAGTCAGAATCGTTTGAAATTGTTTGCGATAACCTACGTGCTCCTTTCTAATTTCTAACTGTTGAAATTTAAAAAGCAAAGTTATCAGTCAAACAATGGCAGGTTTTGAAATGGTACCCAGTGAAAATTTGTGTTTGCATAACTTATGAAGTAGAGTCTACATCATTCTAAATTGTGTATTGAGCAAAATGCGAAGTTGGTTTCATCTTCGACGAGGAGAGTCTACATCATTCCACATTGTGTATTGAGCAAAATGCGAAGTAGGTTTCATCTTCGACGAGGAGAGTCTACATCATTCCACATTGTGTATTGAGCAAAATGCGAAGTAGGTTTCATCTTCGACGAGGAGGGTCTACATCATTCCACATTGTGTATTGAGCAAAATGCGAAGTAGGTTTCATCTTCGACGAGGAGAGTCTACATCATTCCACATTGTGTATTGAGCAAAATGCGAAGTAGGTTTCATCTTCAACGAGGAGAGTCTACACCATTCCAAATTGTGTATTGAGCAAAATACGAAATAGGTTTCATCTTCAACTTGGAGAGTCTACATCATTCCACATTGTTTATTGAGCAAAATGCGAAATAGGTTTCATCTTCAACGAGGAGAGTCTGTACATCATTCCACTTTGTTTGTTGAGCAAAATGCGAAGTAGTTTTCATCTCCAACGTGGAGAGTCTACACCATTCCAAATTGTGTATTGAGCAAAATGCGAAATAGGTTTCATCTTCAACTAGGAGAGTCTACATCATTCCACATTGTGTATTGAGCAAAATGCGAAATAGGTTTCATCTTCAACGAAGAGAGTCTGTACATCATTCCACTTTGTTTATTGAGCAAAATGCGAAGTAGTTTTCATCTTCAACGAGGAGAGTCTACACCATTCCACATTGTGTATTGAGCAAAACGCGAAATAGGTTTCATCTTCAACGAGGAGAGTCTACACCATTCCACATTGTGTATTGAGCAAAATGCGAAGTAGGTTTCATCTTCAACGAGGAGAGTCTACACCATTCCACATTGTGTATTGGGCAAAATGTGAAGTAGGTTTCATCTTCGACGAGTACCTGGATTCGATTTATTTGTGTTACTTTGTTACTTATCAGTGATAATTTATTAAAATGAAAAGGTCACGAAAGGCAATTCAATAAAAATTTAAGCGATTAGATTAGAACAATAGCTTTGCGAACCTGGATCTTCATGCGTATCACTTTTACGTTCGCGTTTCTGTTGACCAGACTATGTTAAGTTATTCATTTGATTGGCGCTAATATTAGAAATCAAAGGAGCTCTTCAAATGCATCATTAAAGTTGATTCCTGTCAACATCCGTATTCAACTGCCCGGTCGGAATATCAATAGAGGACGTGTGAATTAGTGAAGAATCTAAATTTTCTAAAGCAATGTTAAAGGCATATAAGACTTTGGACATTTCTGTGTGGGTTTGTTCTTCATCATCAATCAAATCGATTTTTTCGCACGAAGAAATAAAATCGCGATGATTTATTTACGAATCTTACTTTTAATGATGTCACGTTAGTCTAAATTCCTACATCAGGAGTAATTTATCTTGCTTTCCTTATAGAACGGTCTAACTTACAAGAAAGCAGAAGTCTCGACTTCGCAATAATTCAAAATGCTTTGCAAGAGACGCTCCCTCATAATTAGAATATAGGAATTCCGATACTATCATCCCGTGATGCACTGCTTACGATCACGAGATGATGTAAACCAATCGTAGAATGCATTTTGTTTTGCTGGAATCATTATTGGGATTGATAAAGTAATACATCTATTGGGGTATTTAATTTGTGCTATTTATATATTCGATCATTTGGCAGCGGACGTCGTTCCGAACTATTATTACCCGTGTCGTTTATCCATCCTCGGCACGCAATCCTAGATGTGATTGCCATTTGCAAAGATTAGCTATACTATTAAGAATTGCTATATTCGTTTCTCATAAAATATATTCGGAAAATATAAACGAAAGATTCCAATTTGAACCATTAAACAAGCTCCATCGTTTCAGGGTGAAAACCGGTATTGTGACGTGCAGTTCTGAGAATGCAATATTCGAAAAAGAGAACTGTACGGGCACATTCTCAGTCCGCTACTACACGTTTATTTGCTGGGTGAATGGTTTGCATTTACTACAATCCCACTTTCACCGGGTAGATTTAGTTTTAAATGTTCAGTTCAAATAGTGCAATTTACAATTTCTAATAAGAACCTATCTATTACAAACTAAATACTGAATTTCACTATATGATTGTCATAAAAATAGTTAACAGACGATTTGTGAAGGTTAATGGAGAGCATGTCGTTAATATTTGGATTTTACTTTGATTTGTAAATGTGTTCGATTACGGTCGAAGAGTAATAACAATTATATTAAGTTTTGTCTTGTCCTGCCCTGTATTCTCATTGGTCTGTCTTGGCCTTCCTTGTATTTTCATTGGTCCGTATTGCCCTGCCTTGTAGACTCATTGGTCTGTCGTGCCCTGCTTTGTAGACTCATTGGTATTTCTCATTAACTCTCATTAGCCCGTCTAGTCCTGCAGTGAATTCTCATTGGTCTGTCTTGTCCTTCAGTGAATTCGCATCGGTCTGTCCTGTCCTGCAGTGAATTCGCATTGGTCTGTCTTGCCCTGCAGTGTATTATCATTAGTATGTTCTTGTCCTGCCTTGGTCTCTCATTGGTCTGTCCTGTCCTGCAGTGAATTCTCATTGGTCTGTCCTGTCCTGCAGTGAATTCGCATTGGTCTGTCTTGCCCTGCAGTGTATTATCATTGGTATTTTCTTGCCCTGCCATGGTCTCTCATTGGTCCGTCTTCTCCTGCAGTGAATTCTCATTGGTCTACCTTCTCCTGCAGTGAATTCTCATTGGTCTGTATTACCCTGCCTTGTATATCCAGTGGTGTGTCTTGTCTTGCAGTATATTCTTAATGGCCATTCCTTTCCTTTTCCTCCTTTTAGTGTTCTTGTCCCACCGTGTATTCACCTCGATTTGTCAGTCTTCTATCTTATGTTCTCGCTGTTTTTTCTTTCCCGTATCGACTTGTCAATCGTCATGTAATATTACATTTTCATTAACGCTTGCCTACTTAAGATATAGATATTTTATCTCACATTATATCACTAAAATTACATTTGTACGACATGCACATTTCACACAACTGATACTGTCACTGCTACCCACCTAATTACACAGACGTATCGTCGATCGGCATTAATATTGCCAATATTACACTGATATTGGTCGTTCGTCAGTGTAAGAAAAGCGAGGGACTAAATACGTGAATTGTGTCTTTGTTAACATATAAAACCTAAAACCATCGACACATTCTCAAACTTGACTATCTTCCTTAACTTCGAGCCAAATTATTATCCACAACGTGACTTATAAGTAGGTGTAAATCGGGAAATAAAAAAATCTTACCGAAACCTAGTCCCGGAGGAAGTTCCGCCATGATACACCGACGATACGTCTGTGTAATTAGGTGGGTAGCAGTGACTGTGATATTTAAAAAGCTTAGCATTAGAAATATATGTTTTCTGTCGTTGTGATCAATAACTGACGACTGGCAAAGTTACTGCCATCTTTTTAATATCAACGTTTAAAATGGCATACCATTGTCTTATTGCAACTATTAACATATTTACATTGCTGCAGCCATCTATTATGAGAAATGAATTCACTTTTAAAAATTATTACTTGGATTTCCTTATATTGAGAAATTGTACTACTCGTTTTAAGTCAAAAATTACTTAAATAATCTTGAACTTCTGAATAATTTTTAAGTAATTTTTAAGTAATTCATTTATGGTGAATTTACTAATGCAAGGAGAGAAATTACTCAGATGCGAGTAGGTAGTTACCAGTTTCGCCACCAGGTGGCTGACTCGGGGGAAATAACATGGCAGGGTATTACAAAATTCCCTTAAACTTGAATATTCATCAGTTTTAGTGGTTCACTATTCATATTACCCTTATGTATCTGATAGTTATACAAATTAAAATATGTCCAGTAAAAGAAAATATTATCTGCCCAACACAAGAAAAGATATTTCCATTTTTGTGATATTACAACATGGGGGCTATGGGGAATCTCCCCGACCTAGAAGTCACATTTTCAAAGAAAATTAAATTTTCAAAGTTGATAAACTCTTTTCAAAACCATATTTCGAGATGTAATTTTACATGTAAATTCCAAATATTACATCAGTTTGACTGAATTTTGAATTTTTAATGACTTAAATCAAGATCAATTCTACTCGCATCTAGGATATTAATATACTTACTGTAGTAATTGTAATACTCATTTACATAATTAAGCAATTAAAAAACTCAAAATGACAATATAAGTTAAACCTAAGTAAAATGAAGTAAAACTAAGTATTTAACTTTAAGTAATTTTTATACTTGGGAAATACTTGGGAAATACTCATTAGACAAGTAATTCATTTTAAGAGTGAAGGTCAGTTAGCATTTCATTTAATGTCGAAATTCTCATTATATAATACAACATGAAGACAGGTAACGTAAATTAAGCTTTTTTACTTTTTCATATATTTATAACATCGTGACAGAAAAAACTACAATTATTGTCACAGTGATAACATAACATAAGAAAAATAAGTAGTGATAAAGAGTTCATAACATGAACTGAACACGAATTTAACTTGCCTTAATCTAGCATTTAAAGCACCAACTTAACCCTAGAAGCCTTAAGGGGTAGGGGGGGGGGTCAAAATGAACCCCTCGTTCAGTTTTTCCCCCATAACTTGTTATTGGCATCTAGCAAGGTCTTCAAATCTTCAGTAGCTGAAGCTACAGATACACTGGTGATCCATTCGATTACGCTGGTAGGCCCGTAGCCAGGATTTTCTAAGGGGGGTTCACTAATTGGAAAATTCCAGGGGGGTCACTCTTGACAATTTTGGTAAAAAAAATGGCCAAAATCACTTAAAAAGTGCTCAGAATGGTAGAAAACTGCATGATGTTGAAAGAATTTTTGGCCAGGGGGGGACCCATCGCACCCCCTCTGGCTACGGACCTGCTGGTTAAACAAATAGTTCAGAAGACAACAGAAACGTCGCTTTAATGGTCCGATTAAATTCCACACTTAAGTTACATAAACGGTATTTCAAAAAAACAGTTAAGATCTGCACTTTTAACCCATACCGTTTATGTACAGTAACTCAAGTGAGGAATTAAATCGACGATTCTGTTGTCTCTTGATCTATTTTTCGCAAACATCTACATTTTCTAAAACGCATGATACTGCAATACACGTTCGTGAGAAAAAATGTCGTGGGATTCTGCCTACAATTTAAGGAAAAGACGTTCTGACATTTTATTACCGAAACGTTCTAACCAGCGTAATTGAGCGGATGACCAGTGAGATATATCACAGTCATGTTTTCTAAAAAATCATCAAAATGGTATATAGGGTAATCAATTTATTATGATGTAATCATCAGCTCCAATAGCTCCAATACCATATCTTTAGAATAAAATTACACAATCTTACATCATCGAAGTTGTTAAAGTTATTACACCGAGTTGTAGATAATTGAATGAAGTATATTTTGAGAATATTTGAACATCCTAGCTTTACTAATAAACATTTTACAAGGGGGGGGGGTGCTCTTTTGACCCCCCTAGGAGTTCGTGTGCCTTTTTTTTACCGTAGGGATGCAAGGGTTAAACATAATCAAATACAATAAAGTGTAATGTATTTATTTCAGTAACATATACAAATGTACAACATAAAAGCAGGGTGCATGTAGTATACTATTTTGTATGTACTATGATTATACACCCACTTCAGCAGGGTATAGTCCTGGGCCAGCTTTATTTTCTAGCTCATTTCTTAACTTTTTTCTTTCCTCTTCTAGTCGCCGTTGCTCCTTTTCTTCCTCTGACCATTTTTGGCAAGTTCCTGGAATCAATTCGAAATAGTAATTTAGTGCGTTTAGTTCGACCCTTGAAGCATATTGTACCAAGCCAATAGTGTGGTAGATATTCATTTTTATTTTCCTTGACGAGGTGCATACACTATGTTCGCACACCTAAAGTATATACATTGGTTTTAAACATGTAAATTGTTTCATATAACTGTTAATACAAAGCCATATACAATATGATGTATTTAGTAATAAGAAGCCCGCTTTTAAAGTAGCGCAAACAATTACAATTTGAACTAACCCCCCTATCACACCAAACTAGTTCTTACCCGTTCTTGCCAGTCCTACGAAAATGTCGTAAAACGGGCTCAATCTGGCTGTGGTCGTGAAATATGTCTGAAATAATTAGCTTCTTCGTTCTTAAACAGTCTTCAATACGTCCATCTCGTTCGCAGTTCGTTCAGGTCGCACCACGTCGGAGTGCAACGTCGTAGAACGCGTCCCTTAGTCTAGAAGGTCAACATGACCTGATTACAGAACGGTATGGTCGTCATCGAATTTTGAACCGATTCAAAATTCTAAAATCACATTCCCGTCTGAGAACGTTCATAAAGTTCGTAAATATACCTTAGAAAGTTGCAGCTACGTTCATTCCGTTCGCACACAGTTTAAAACCAGTTTTGAAGAACGCAGTGGCAACTTGTTTGGTGTGATAGCTATATTTTTGCTAACTCGTTCATAAGCAGTGTTAAATACGTTCTTAATCAGTTTAAACCCGTTTGCAATTAGTTCTACCTCGTTCTCAACACGTCCTCAGACAGTTCAACTCGTTGTTAAAACGTCCCTAGTAGGATTGAAGTAAGACGGTTCCGTTCGTAGTACGTCCTGCTCGTCGTAAGTACGTTGTCACTTGTTCTAATTGTAAGACGTGACGACCACGAGAACATTTTGAGCATCGTCTAAGTTCTAGAGGACCTACCCGTTCGAGTACGTTCGATGAAGTTTGTAAATAGATCCCAAATGGTTCTTAGTAGGTCCAGTCCGTTCGTATACAGTTGAAGCCCGTTTTCGAGAACGCAGTGAGAACTAGTTTGGTGTGATAGTAGGGTTAGATTGACATTTACCACATGTTCTACAAATATGACGGCAACTAAAATGCCAGCGCAGTATGTACTTACCAAGAGCCCCTAATGTATCAGTGATGTTGGGATTCTGTGGTCTGCACGTGTATTGTTGTTCTTTACAAGGGCAGTCAATAAACATCGGTTTAGTCTCTTGAAGAGGTTTTAATGTACCAACAGTACATGCTTAAATACAAGGCATCATTTGAAAAACACAAAAATGAAGGCTTCAACCAAGTACATTAACAGTGTTACCCACATCATAATGAGAAATCGTGGTCTCCCATTAAATTAGCTTTTTTAGAAGCATATTTCAAGTTGATTGCAGAAAGGTGTGATGCTCAGAAGGTACCCACGTAATCACAATCCTCAAGAAGAAGGCTAGAGGCATAGGAAATCATGTTTCCCGTCAAGGTAAGCTCCCGTGAAAGAGATATCCTCTTACTATATGTAAAATCAAATGATCGAAGAATAGTTCTCAGTTCATTTGTTAAAATGGTCAACAACAATAGAGTTAACACTAGTTGTAAAATCATATGAAAAATATCGTCTATGATACTTGCAAAATGATCAAGAAGGCGTGTACCTTCACCACATTTCCCAAGCTGTCGACATGTTCCAAATTCAGGAACGATGCCAGTTCTTTCATATTCCCTTTTATCCAACACACAACATTCGTCTTTTGCGCAATCTCGTTGTTTCGCACATGTATATCTTTTACACTCCCCTATAATTTAATCATAACATCATTTGTGTACATGCATTCGAGTATACTTTAGGTATACATGTTATGAGACTATGCTTTTATAGATATTTATTCACATTATATGAGACTATGTTTTATAAGATATTTATTTACATCTTCCCAGTTCAAGCATAGTCTCATACATGTATATAGCAGTGTGTAGTGTGGGAGCAAAAGCCCAAATAAGAGGTTCCGTGTCCTTTTTAGAGGCGAGCTAAGCGACATATGTTTTCATGAACTAGAAGTGATACTGATCAAGAAAAATGATGTTGGCAATTCTGAATCCGCGACAGCGTTGCTATGGTAACCAAGTAAATATGCCACGCCCACTTTTAGGGGCTCTTTTCAGTGTATGGCCCCTATCTCTGTCATTATTGCTCAGATTTAGATGAAATTCACACCAAATGGAAGATGGATAATGCAATCAGGAAAAATATTAAGTTGGCAATTCTGAATCCGATATGGCGTTGCTATGGTAACAAAGTAAATATCCCACACCCACTTTTAGAGGCTCTTTTCCGTGTTTGGTCCCTATCTTCGTCAATATTGCTCAGATTTAGGTGACATTTGTACCAAATGAAAGGTCATGGAAAGAGCAATCAAACGGTTTATAAAATATGCAAATAAGGTGATTTGCATATTAATTATGACGTCATAACCGTTTGTTCTTGCATATTTTATTTTAATCATGATGTATAAATCTGGGAAATTATTGTCTTTAAAATGGTCAGTAATGCTTTTAAGTGGTTAATTAGTTTATTTCTTTTCGATGAGTTTATTAGTTTATTTCATTCATACATGTATGGTAATAAAAATTGAAAAAATGTAATGAAAACATCCAATTCAAGCTGTTGCTATGGTAACAGTATGTTGCAAAACTATCTGCTGTGAAAACAATTCTTTGGGAAATGTTACATTTTGACTAGTTGACTGACATGTATTCCTTTTAAAATTTGATGGCTGGCAAAAAATAACCTAATAATGATAGAAAATTATCTAATTTGGATTGTGTTATATTATGATGTCATAATGGCAATTATTAATCAGGGGCGCAACCAGCTTTCAATCAGGGGGGAGGGGATGCGATATCGGCATAAGCAACTCAAAAAAAAATTAATTTGACTTGAATTTTACAAAAAATCCTTCAAAATTGAGCTAGAAGCTTCAAGTCAAAAGCATTTTTAAAGCTCTTCTGCCGAAAGAACAATGGAAATGACGTCTTGGATCTCCAGCTGTAATGGTTCTACTTTTATTGGTAAATGGGGGAGGGGGGGGGGGGGGTTGCCCCAATCACACCACCTGGCTATGCCTATGTTAGCTGTTGTATTCAGGTGAATATGCCATCCCCACTTTTCAGGTCTTTTCCAAAGTCTTGATTCTATCAGTTGTCATGATGATAGCTCTGGTGTATATGAAATTTTCATCAAATAGAAACTAAAGAATCAGACGATGCATGGGGAATGTAGATTGACAGACTGATAAACCTGTTATGGTATGACTACCATAGCTGTTTTCGTGATTATTTTCTTGAAATAAGGTAAAATTGCTCAAGATGATTCCAAATTGGTATCTTGTCCTTTGACATTCACCATAAAAGTAGGTCAAAGCTGAAAACAAGGATTGATTTACATTCTATTTCTTTACACGTATAAAGTATGATCAAGAAATATTATGGGCAATTCTGAATCTGCGATGCCGTTGCTATGGTAACCAAGTAAATATGCCACGCCCGTTTTTAGGGTCTCTTTTCAGTGTTTGCCCCCCATCTCCACCATTATTGCTCAGATTTTGATGAAATTCAGACCAAATTGAAAGTAATAGATAATGCAATCAGGATATATTAAGTTGACAATTCTGAATCAACGATGGCGTTGCTATGGTAACAAAGTAAACATGCCCCACCCACTTTAAGGGGCTCTTTTCAGTGTTTGGCCCTTATCTTCTTCATTATTGCTCAGATTTAGATGAAATTTGCATCAAATCAAAGGAATAGATGGAGCAATCAGACAGTTAGTAAACTATGCAAATAGGATGATTTGCATATTGATTATGACGTCATAAATGTTTGTTCTTGCATATTTTATCTTAATCATGATGTATTAATCTCTGAAATTATTGTCTTTAAAATAGTCAGTAATGCTTTTAACTAATTAATTAGTTTATTTCTTTAAGTTGAGTTTATAATTTTATTTCATTCATACTTGCATGGTCATAAAAACTGAATGAATCAAAGATGTAATGAAAGTGTCCAATTTATGCTGTTGCTATGGTTACAGCACGTAGCAAAACTATCTGATGTAAAAATAATTCTTTGGGAAATTTTACATTTTGACTAGCTGACTGACACATGTATTCTTTTTAAAATATGATGATAGAAAATAATCTTATAACTATAGAAAATTATTTAATTTGGATTGTGTTATGTTATGATGTCATAATGGCAATTATTAATCAGGGGTGCAGCCAGCGTTCAGTCAGGAGAGGGGGATTGCGATTGTGGCATAAGCAACCCAAAAATGTTTTTAAGATTTGTTTTGAATTTTACAAAAATTGATGCACCTTCCTTCAAAACTGAGCTAGAAGCTTCAGGTCAAAATGATTTTAAAGCTCTTCTTCTATTTAATGGTTCTATTTTTTTTGTTTATGGGGGCGCACCCATCGCACCCCCTGGCAATGCCTAAGTTAATCCAATATGATGTTGCTATGGTAACTACCTTTTGTAGGTGAATATGCCATCCCCACTGTTCAGGGCTTTTTCAAAATTTCGCTTCTATCTTTGTCATGATTACAGCTTGAGTGTGTATGAACTATTCACCAAATTGAAGCTAAAGAATCAGACAATGCATGGATTATGTATATTGACTGACTGGCATACCCATCGTGGCATTAAGAGCTGCTAATGGTTTTGAAATCCGAAAATATGTTCAACGTCAATTTACATAAAAAATAATATCATTTTATGGTATAGGTCAATACTTTAGCCTGTTTCATCTTTTTAGGTCATGTAGACATAACTGTACCAATTTTGAACAGAATGGTTGGATGTCAGATTTCAAAACCAAAAGCATATCTTAAATCAGGGGCTTCCATACTCCAGGCCATACTTGTAAAGAAATGGAATCAATCATAGTTTTAAGCTTTGACCTCATTTTATGGTGAATGTCAAAGGACAAGGTTCCAATTTGGAAATATTTTGAGCAATTTTACCTTATTTCAAGAGATAATCACAAAAAGCAGCTATGATACCATAACAGGTACTGAACTCCTGGTATTTTTCGCCTGCAATTTAGTTTCGTGCTGGATAAAAAAAGCGAAAACTAATCTTTGCAAAATTGTCAATTAAATCCCAGTGATTTCTGAAATTTAGTATTACAATTTGTGTTTTGTAAAATGTTTGTCAAGTGTTTTAGGCGATTAATGGGATAGTTAGTACCAATGTCTGTTACAGAGGAATCATTTCGAGCAATTTTACCTTATTTCAAAAAAATAATCACAAAAATCAGCTATGATACCATGACAGGTAATTAGTATGCCAGTCAGCCAATCTACATTATTCATGTATTGTCTAATTCACCTAGCATATTCACCTAATGGTTACCATAGCAACATCAAGTTGGATTAACGTAGGCAGTGCTTAGGGGGGGGGGGGGAGGGGGTGCGCTGGGCTCACATACCCCCTCATATCCGATACAAATAGAACCATTAGATAAAAGAAGGCTTTCGACTTGAAGCTTTTTGCTAAATTTTGAAGGAAGTTGGATCAATTTTTGTAAAATTCAAAACCTATCTTATAAATACTTTCTGGTTGCCTGTGCCACGGTCGCAGGCCCCCTTCTGACTGAAAGCTGGCTGCGCCCCTAATTAAAAATTGCCATTATGACATCATAATATAACACAATCCAAATTTAATTACTATGGTTATTAGATTATTTTCTGTCAAATTTTAAAAAGAATACATGTCAGTCAACTGGTCAAAATGTAACATTTCCTAAAGAATTCTTGTTTACAGCAGATGGTTTTGTTGCATGCTGTCACCAAAGCAACAGTGTGAATTGGACACTTCCATTATATTTATTCAGCTATTATGATAATACATGTGTAAATGGAATAAACTAATAAACTCAACCAAAAGAAATAAACAAGACTAGTTAAAAACATTATACGGACCATTTTAAAGACAATAATTTACCAGATCTATACATTATGATTAAAATAAAATATGCAAGAACAAACAGTTATGACGTCATAGTTGATATGCAAATCACCATATTTGCATATATTAAAAACTGTCTGATTGCCCCATCTATTACCTTTCATTTGGTGCAAATTTCATCTTAATCTGAGCAATAATGACCAAGTTATGGGCCAAACACTGAAAATAGCTCCGAAAAGTGGGCGTGACATATTTACTTTGTTACCATAGCAACGCCATATCGGATCCAGAATTGCCAACTTAATACTTCCTGATTGCATTATCCATTAGCTTCCATTTGGTGTAAATTTCATCTAAATCTGAACAAAAATGACAGAGATAGGGGCCATACACTGAAAAGAGCCCCTAAAAGTGGGCGTGGCATATTTACCTGGTTACCATAGCAACGCCGTCGCGGATTCAGAATTGCCAACATCATTTTTCTAAGTAAGTATCACGTATAGTTCATGAAAATATATGTCGCTTAGCTCGCCTCTAAAAAGGACACGGAATGACCTTTGCTCCCATACTAGTGTATTATATACAGCAATTAGATTCATATTAAAGTATATCCACTGCGTTGCCAAAATACAATCCATGGTCGTATATAAGACTGTCTTGAACATTTAAACAAATTGTAATCGATACACTACACTATATAAACATGTACCAAAGCCAAAGGAGAGTTTAACAATTTATTGGTAAAATCATAAAAATATAATTTCAATTATGACGTGTTCAAAAGATGGCATTTAAGTATTAGTAACCTATTTTATAGTCTATTGAACAGACAATAAAACGGACCAGACAATACGAAGGTAATTAAAGGTAAAATAAATAACTATAATTATATAAAGTGATTAACATTTAAAAGGAATCGTTAGTTTTAGAATCGTGTTTTTTTTGTAACAGCCACGTGTATAATTCAGCATTAGATATACTGTATGTCAATGCTACAATGCCAAAGCAAATACAAATTGTCAATCGTGCCTCTTTATTGTCATAGACAATCAATTATCGTCATAGACAATCAATAATCATTTTGTCCAACCTACTTATGCCAAATCAAGTATGAAAAACACCGTGTGATTGGTCTGGACCTTAGGTCTAACCTAAAATGTTAGATAATCGTTGAACACCGGCACCAAATATGAAAAATCCTTTCTTTTCGCAAGTCAGATGTTGGAGACATGGACAAACACCCATATAAACCTGATGTCCCTCTTTAAGATCTCTCCCTACAAAGCAGCCTGAAAGTAGAGTACATGCACATGCGTATATTCTAATTTAACATGCCTTTATGTGTTTAGTTCATGCCATTTTGAAGAAAAGTGTCTGACGTGGTTGTATAATGCAATACATATACTATACATGCGCACATGCATCCGGGACATGCAATAACTATATCTTATGATGTGCTTTGGGATCTGCAAAATACGCATGCAATTTTATTCAATACAATGTACATGGAAACATGCAATACTCTGTGTATATCTCATATAGTTTTTACGGGTGAAGGAAACGTGCATGGTAGAAGGCTCAAGAGGGGTCAATTATAGAAGTTTAAACCAAATATACACTTTATAGTTATACCAAAGGTGTATCCATCCACATGCAGTTTCGTGACATTTCGTCTCGAACCGTAGGGCTGCGAATATCTTAAACGAAATGACCGCCAACATGCAATGCCGTGCTTTTTCGCGTTAAGATGTAGAACTGTGATGTCCTGAACTACACGTAAGAACGCCGACATGCAGGTTATTCGTGATGCTTTGGCCATAAGAGTGCCAACGCACAGTTCTTACATTATAAGTCGTTAGACGTTGAGTTTCTAAACTACAAAAAGCATCCGCATGCAGTACTTATTAAATCTCAGGATTTTGACGTCATAAACTAAAACAGCATTCACCCACATGCAGTTTTTTATGTTAAGTTATAGTACAGCATCGTGCTAAATAAGAAAAATGACCACGTGCAATTGTATTTTCAGATTGTGACATCCAAACCTGAAAGAGCGCACACCTGCTACTCTACATTAAGTCAGTGTCAATGAAGCGTTGTGTTTTGAGTACTCTTTGTGAAGGTTGTAATTCTGAGGATGTCTCTTATACGATTCATCAGTAAAGAACAATGAATATATTAAAACTGACAAAACTAACACTACAATGACTTAATGCAAGCATAACCAATTTTGTTATTGATGGACGCACGGACTCACCAAACCTTCCTTTGGTTATAGGGTTAAACCCGATCGGGATTCCTACCCCGATTGGTAGCGAAGCACTCACGTCATCGCATATAAGGTCACGCATACATGGACAATACTGGTCATACGAGGCACGGTTGTTGCGAATATTCGCTGATTTCAAACAAACTGGAATTTGTATAACTCTAACAATTGTAACTAAAATTTTATGTAAAACCAAGTTTCTTTAATGCAAAAGATAAACTGGTATTTGATAGTCTATGGCAAAACGTACTCATAAGTAGAGGTAAAATAGACTTACCCGACCATCACAAGTTATAAACAAGGAATATATTCAATTGGGTATCGCAATGCATAAACTGTATAGTCATTTATCCTGCAATGTAATGCTTCTTTATTTTATCGACTTATATACCACGTGTTTTAATGTCGACATACCTTGACGTTCTTTTGATAATTCCGTGCACTTTCCCACCGCTTTTCTGTCCTGCCTTGGGTTTTTAGAAAGATATGGCAACTTCACCCCAAATACTCTGAGGCAACATTGTGTCTGACCACAGTCGTTAGTATTCACACAAAACTGAGGCTTACATAAACCTAAAATATTGTTTTTCTTTATTTCCAATGTCTTTCAATGTTATAAAATCATTATGGAATAAATGTACCATGGCTCCAGGCATGATTGTATCACCGTACGATTGATCATATTTTAATTTGTTAAGGTTTGAAATTGGGGTTTGGTTTACACACAAACTCTTTGCGCTCGGTATAGCTGCATATTTCCTTTGTGTGTTAAGAATTGCATCGTCGATGGTCTTTCCTTTGTATTAAATTTTGAATTTTTAAAAATTTGAGCGAAGTCTAGCAGCTCAATTTAGACCAGGTATTTTGCCACTTAGGCTAGAGATAGGCAGATTTAAGGACGAACATGTGGAAGAAAGATTATGTACACTATGTAACGATAAATCAGTTGAAACAGAAATACATTTTCTATTCCATTGTAATAGATATGATGATCTGAGAAAAACATATTTTGATGAGGTAGATTTTAAAGATTTGGATAATGAAGGTAGCAAAATTGAATTTCTTTTTAGGGAACATACCTGTAAAATTGTTAAATTTATTAAGATGGCTTTTGTGCGGAGAAGGCAATTCATCTACAACCTGTGATATTGATTTTCGTGTATTAATTTTGTATTTCCTATTGTTAACAGTGGTTAATAAGCCCAAGGTGGGCTGGGTAAAATTGTAATTAATTTTTTATATTTTATAATTGAATTGTAAGACCGACCACTATAAATAAATAAATAAACTAAACTAACTGTATTGTTGTTTTTTACGTATTTGAATTATTGAAGAATATCAACTTAATACATTTTATGAAACGAGCCGTGTTCAAAAATGAAGATTATGATGCTAAGTACAGGGAAAATAATACACGTGGTAACATACCTATTCCTGATTTAAGTTTCTTCTTTCCAATATAAAAGAATCTTCTTTCAGTAGCGCCGACACTTTCACATGTATAGCCCTTCCCACAAGGGCAATCATACGCAATGTTGCGTTCAAGACGCTTTGATTGGTCAAGAAGGCACTCTAAAATATAAGAGATATAGAAATCAAAATGAGGTTTATGTTGTTCTGTTTGGTGTGTTAATGTTTGATCATTTTACCTATTTTTTAACACCCTGCAATATGATTATTTTTACCTTTTCAATACAACTTGATTTTAGGTGTTGTTACCTATGTTATTTTATTGCCCATTTATTTTTAAAATACTTTATAGCATTTAATAACATTTTATAGATGGCAGTAATACTACACTGACATCTAATATCATTGTTGCAGCAGAGTTTAAACATATTGATATGATTGATTGATATCATTGATGATATGCCAATACATCTGTCAAAATATGTATGATATAATATGGGATTGTGTAAAATGGTAGAAGGTCCTATCAAATTATGGTCATACTCTCCATTGATTTATATATGGTGACCTAAATCAGGTTATGTCTCTGCCTAAATACAACTCTTTCTTTTATTATCTTACACACAATCAGGGCCAGTAAGGGCCGTTTAGAAAGGGGACCATAATCCCCAGGGGACCATCATTGCCTTCACAAACGGACTATATTTGTTTGTAGAAAATATTTTAATTTTTAATATGAAAGCAAATTAAAAATAAATATTCTAAAATCTATCGAAATTGATTTAAATCCTTATTTACCTTCATTTAGAAACTTTAGGCGTTTACATATCCCCTGTGTTTTATTGAACGATTGTTTTTGTGTTTTTGCTTCTGATCTATCGAAGACGCAGCATTCATCACACCAGCATTCGTTTTTGGAAGTACAAGGCAAGCCTACTCGAGTTTCTGCACGCATCTTTACATTAAATATAAATTCATAATAACAAACAAATCGATCAATTGTCAAACGTACAGGCACAATTATAACAGATATACAAAACTGCATTGAAAATGGTACTATGAAAGGTAAACCTTTTTAGATTTCTGAATACATAACTGTTTCAAAGTTGTCTATATTTTATACGAGCGGCCATATACTTTCTAAACGACATGAGTGGATCTTGTTTGTACATAATAGGAGGTTAAGCTATACGTTTCTAAGAGAACGTGCACGAGAAAGGTATAACATTATTGTTCTCTAGGGGTTTCAGTTTTTCCCTTCATAGTATTTATAGTTGCCCGATTGAGTATAAAGCTATAAGCTGAATAGAAAAAATTGAGAGGGAGAGGGTAATTTCCATGGGTCATTATGTTACACGTTAACGTACAAATCCTATTAAATACGTCTAGCTTAACATCCATTTAACCAACATTGTCGTCGTCTCGATATGACATTTGGTTGATTTCAAAGTGAATATATTCAGTATAATCAGTCTTAGGAAAGTTAAATAAATCAATAATGCCTGATCGTATGACCTGATTAGTGACCAATTACTATGATAAATAATCTTTTGTTAAATGTAAGTATTGTTTTCAAATGTCAGTTTATGTGAATGATTCGTATATTGAGTAGTCTATGCTGTTCAATGTCAAATATTCAAACATCCTTATGATGAATGATATTGTATTTATGAACAACGGTGACGGCTTTGCGAAATCAGGTGGACAGCTGAGACAAAGTGCTAACACACTTGGGTCGGGGCAGTCTACGCGAGGTTCTGCGCGCGCATGCGCAAGGATGAAAGTACTGCATTCCCATGATTCAGATTGATTTTCTGCGATTTGTACGGTTTACGCCACATGTCAACTAATTCGGGGCTAGTTGATATCCTGTCATTACATTTCTTTTGGATGCATACCTTTTTACACCAAACGACAAGATTTCCATGTATAAGGTGCATTATGGTTAGGGACTTCTGTGAAATATTAAACGTAAGAAGGCATCTAATTAAAAATATATTCAGTTAGGTTATTTATTACGCACGCGATTGAATAATTCAACTGAACAAATTGCTGGATTCAATGAGCGAAAAACTGAAACAATCCTTCTTTCTTATTTCCTCTTCAATAATGCATTGTCTAAGTTTTAAATAACTGACAACTTCTTTCCTTACCGTTCATGCGCCGGTGCAAGCCAGTGCCTTACTCATTTGAATGTGACATATATTATCCGATACCTGTGTATATAGTAACATAAACAACATCAGTAACAAAATAACAAGTCTTAAAATATGTTATCGTTTAACTTAAACTCATTAAAATAGGCAAAAGTATTCATATACTTACGCATAGCATAGCTAAGAATAAAGCAATGGAAATGCATGTTAAACCCATCACTCTTGTCCCAGCAAACAGTGACGTCCATGTAACGTCACTCATATGTGGTATATAAGTTCACTGGAGACGTTGTATATTTCCGTTATATAAACGTCAAAGCAACGTAAAATTGTGACATTCAGCAAAACGTCGGTGGATGGTTAAAAAATGACGTTGTAGTAATGTGTTAGTAAAGTTCGAAATTTGTGCTGGTGTGAAAAACGTAACAATGACGTTGAATTTTTACCAGTTTGGTTCATTTGCAACGTAATATAAACGGTAAAATTTAACGTTGTCGTAACGTTTTTTAAATGTGTAAAATATTTGTAAGTGCAGGAAACATTACAAAGACGTTGCAGTTCTCACCAAATTGTTTCATTTGCTACGTAATATAAACGGTAAAATTTGACGTTGTCGTAACGTGTTTTAAATGTGAAAGATATTTGTAAGTGTAGAAAACGTTACAAAGACGTTGTGTTCTCACCAAATTTGGTACATTTGCTACGTAATGTAAACGGTAAAATTTGACATTGTCGTAACGTGTTTTAAACGTGAAAGATATTTGTAAGTGCAGAGAACGTTACAAAGACGTTGCACTTCTCACCAAATTGTTTCATTTGCTACGTAATATAAACGGTAAAATTTGACGTTGTCGTAACGTGTTTTAAATGTGAAAGATATTTGTAAGTGTAGAAAACGTTACAAAGACGTTGTGTTCTCACCAAATTTGGTACATTTGCTACGTAATGTAAACGGTAAAATTTGACGTTGTCGTAACGTGTTTTAAACGTGAAAGATATTTGTAAGTGCAGAGAACGTTACAAAGACGTTGCACTTCTCACCAAATTGTTTCATTTGCTACGTAATATAAACGGTAAAATTTGACGTTGTCGTAACGTGTTTTAAATGTGAAAGATATTTGTAAGTGTAGAAAACGTTACAAAGACGTTGTGTTCTCACCAAATTTGGTACATTTGCTACGTAATGTAAACGGTAAAATTTGACGTTGTCGTAACGTGTTTTAAACGTGAAAGATATTTGTAAGTGTAAAAAACGTTACAAAGACGTTGCTCTTCTCACCAAATTGTTTCATTTGCTACGTAATATAAACGGTAAAATTTAACGTTGTCGTAACGTTTTTTAAATGTGTAAAATATTTGTAAGTGCAGGAAACATTACAAAGACGTTGCAGTTCTCACCAAATTGTTTCATTTGCTACGTAATATAAATGGTAAAATTTGACGTTGTCGTAACGTGTTTTAAATGTGAAAGATATTTGTAAGTGTAGAAAACGTTACAAAGACGTTGTGTTCTCACTAAATTTGGTACATTTGCTACGTAATGTAAACGGTAAAATTTGACGTTGTCGTAACGTGTTTTAAACGTGAAAGATATTTGTAAGTGTAGAAAACGTTACAAAGACGTTGCACTTCTCACCAAATTGTTTCATTTGCTACGTAATATAAACGGTAAAATTTGATGTTGTCGTTACGTGTTCTAAATGTGAAAGATATTGGTAAGTGTAAAAAACGTTACAAAGACGTTGTGTTCTCACCAAATTTGGTACATTTGCTACGTAATGTAAACGGTAAAATTTGACGTTGTCGTAACGTGTTTTAAATGTGAAAGATATTTGTAAGTGTAGAAAACGTTACAAAGACGTTGCACTTCTCACCAAATTGTTTCATTTGCTACGTAATATAAACGGTAAAATTTGATGTCGTCGTAACGTGTTCTAAATGTGAAAGATATTTGTAAGTGTAAAAAACGTTACAAAGACGTTGCGTTCTCACCAAATTTGGTACATTTGCTACGTAATGTAAACGGTAAAATTTGACGTTGTCGTAACGTACGTGTTTTAAATGTGAAAGATATTTGTAAGTGTAGAAAACGTTACAAAGACGTTGCAGTTCTCACCAAATTGTTACATTTGCTACGTAATATAAACAGTAAAATTTGACGTTGTCTTTACGTGTTTTAAATGTGAAAGATAATTGTAAGTCTAGGAAACGTTACAAAGTCCTTGTTTTCCCACCAAATTGGTTCATTTGCCACGTAGTGAAAATGGCTAATTGTAACGTTGTCAAAACATGGTTTGAATGTGAAAAATATTTGTAATTGTAACACACGTTACAAAGACGTCATTTTCTGACCAAAATGGTTCATTTTCAACGTAGTGCAAACGGTTAATTTCAACGTTGTCGAAACGTGTTTTCAATTGAAATGTAAAAAAATATTTGTAAGTGCAGGAAACGTTACAAAAAGACGCTATGTCCTCACGAAATTGGTTTATTTGCAACGTTGTCGAAACAGTTAATTTTGACGTTGACGAAACGGGGTTTAAACGTGAAAAATACATATACATGTATGTGAAAAAGAACGTGACAAAGACGTTGTGGTCTCAACAAATTCGTTTAATTTGTGACGTGAAGTAAATGTTAAATATATAACGAATATACATGTATGCCTCGAGTTGTGGTAACTTTAAATACTGATCGGTGGAGGCACAGGCATATGTTGGCTCACACAGATGAACTTAACGTGGTAATTGAGAGTGAGAGTGGAAATATGATGTAAAGAAAACGTTTCTCCGACGTTGTAATTTTGCCATGGGTTATTGCTGACAAAAGTCTGACGTTCTGTCCCGGGGGGTTCATTCCAATATACCTCTTAATACCTATGTGCCGCGCCAAAGACCCCCTTTTTGAGCAATTTTTCCATGTCAATTTCCTCTCAAAATTGGAACTTTCCATGTATTATTCCTCTCAGAGTTATAAAATTCCATATTTTCTTCCTCTGAACTTCATAGATGTCCATGTCGACTTCCTCTGGAGCTTGCCGGTGTGAAAGGAATTATGGTCCCCCGGGGATTATGGTCCCCCTTCTTAACGGCCCTTACTGGCCCTGATTGTGTATAAGATAATAAAGGAAGAGTTGTAATTAGGTCACCATATAAATCATAGAGATGAGGACCATATATTGATAGGACCTCCTACCCTTTTACACCGGTGTAAAAGAAATTATGGTCCCCTGGGGATTATGGTCCCCTTTCTTAAAGGCCCTTACTGGCCCTGATTGTGGATACGATAATAAGGGAGAGTTGTATTTAGGTCACCATATAAATCAATGGAAAGTAGGACCATAATTTGATAGGACCTCCTACCCTTTTACACCTGGACTAAAGTTTGCGAATTATCGGTAAATTGACTAAAACTCCACTCTTCCGGCGATTTGTCAGACCTCGGGACAAAAATTTTAGTCCCTTTCAACAAGGGCGAGCGTTACAAACGGAAAGTACATCGTTCGCAAATTTGATGTATTTCTCGTTCGGCTTTTTATCGTATTCTGTTCTATCAACCAATAGAAATAGAGGAATTCCCGCGTCGAAATCAACATGGAGGACAGTTCCAAGTTCAAGAATATTGCTGCTTAAAAGCAACTTTGGAGCCGTACTGCCAGCTTTCGAAGGTAAGAATGATGCATGCATGTTACACAATCACCAAAGGTTAAAATGAAAGCATTCCATGGCCGGTACTTGCAGCGAGAACACAAATAATCTCATGTGAAAGTTGGGATCGTTTCAATTTTCAAAATTTATTTTTTGTCAGTTGAAATTAGACTTTTGAATATTCTGATATTTGAATCGATGTTATTGATTTTCAATTTCATCACGATTTTCAATCATAATTCCTGGTTCATAATTTTCGTTAGGTCAATTACAAGGGGTCCAGGGGTCAATTAACCCACAGTCAGCACTATCAATGGTATATTCTAAAAATATAGGGAATAGGCCTAGTATATAGAGACTAAAAGTCCAAAAGGCTTTTGTGACAATATTTCCCGGAAGTGTTATATTTCCATTTATCCTTCAAACTGTGACATTTATGCTAATAACTCGACATGTATATGATTCTTACATACCCAATACGATCAAAAACGTTACTAACATACCAAATGAAAGGTGATTTCCTGGTCAAACTTGCAAAAGTTTGTCCAAATTCGCACTTGAACCGAATATTTACCGGAAGTGTTTATATTTCCATTTAGGTGTCACTACGCTAAATCATTGAAAAATATTGAAAAAATCACAAAATTCAAGTTTGGGATACATATCGCCATTTTCGAACGAATTAGCCCATACAAAAACTATATTTCTGCGTTCCCCTATACATAACCTTCATCTTGACCATACATTTAACATAGGGTTTGCGTCTCGATTTTTAAATATCACTACGCCAACATAGGGACTCATTTTTAGGTAAAATCCCTGCTTCACCGATGAAAATTAATGAATAAAGTAGTTCCAGTTTATGGCACTATATTTTTGCTATTTCTTTCTAAAATGGCACATTTAGAAAGTAATTGGCCTCAGCTTTACATACATACCTCAAATGGCCACAACGCATATACTTAAGGTGCTATGGAAGTTAACAGGAAATGACAAAACAGGAAGTGATTTTTTTGTATTTTTAGACATTTTTTGAACAAAGATAACAGAGTCCTGTTTTCACCTCCAGTCAATTCAACTAGTTCCAAATACCATTTACAGGTCCAGGATCACAATGTTCATGGTCAGAATGACCCTAAACATGATGAAGTAACCTTTTCCGCCCTATGAAAATGTGACTGAAAAATAGCTAAAAGTAGGTGCTCAGGAAAGGTCAATGAACAGAATCTTGTGATTTTTTCAGTAAATGTGTCCAATGTATTGCTCTAAATGATACAATCTTTGAAAATTTGATATCATTCATAGAAAAAGAAAAAATGAAAAAACTGATTTGAAAAGCAATCTATTTTCCTTTTTATGACCGCCATTTTTGTTTAAGACAATTTTCTAAAATTTCAAAGATTGTATCAGTTAGAGCATTATATTGGGCACATTTTCTGACCTTCCCTAGCTCCTACTTTTAGCTTTTTTTCAGTCACACTTCCAAAAGGCTAAAAAGGTTATTTCATCATGTTTAGGGTCATTTTGACCATGCACATTGTGATCCTGGTCATGTAAATGATATGTGGAAATAGTTA